TTTGGACTGGAATAAAATATTTTTTATTTGGAACACATCGCAATTGATCAGGAAATATTTGTTTGCTCCAATTTTCTGCGTCGATGCCGTGGGCCGGTGACCGTTATACAATTTAAAATCAGTTTGCATTGTTTACTATAGCTGTTTACAGTGTTCTAATCATTACGATTTACTTATTTTTTTGCTTCCATTCTATTATGCTCAGTGATGTAAAATTGAAGCGATGACTGAATGAACGAACCTTGGCTGGCGAAGATGTATCTGGAAGTGTACATATTTGTTGGAAGTGAAAAAAATATTCAATGTAATGACAAAAATTGTAAAATGCTGTGGAATTTCTTTTGCAAATAAAAATATACTAGCAATTTTCTATTAATCGTTTATTCAAGTGGGCAAAATATAATGTACAGAAAGATTGCCCGTAGAGTATCACTACACTGAAAAGTAAGCAACCGACAGCCTGTATAAAAGGGGGACTGTGATTGGCTGTTACTTACGCGAGATTTGAACGGGACTTACATAGGCGTCGGATCAGATGTAGGTAGGGCAGAATTAAAAAAAAATCACGAAATCAAAATCAAAGTAAAATAATAAAATAAAAGGGCATTAATAACAAAAGTAATAAAAAAAAAATTAAAAATAAGTTTATAGTCAAAATAATTAAAGCCCGTACACTACATCAGATTTTAATCAGATTGGTTATAGCCATAACTATTTGGTGGCCAGTTGATGAACAATTCAATGTCCTTCAGGGCTGAAAATCATCGACGCTACTCTGGTTTACTTTATTTCACAACTTGCAGAGAAAACTGATTCGCGTGAGCTCTAATGTATCTTAGCCTAGTATGTTCTTTTTGAACTAAGGTCAAATTCCATCAGTTTGTCAAAATATATGTTTTTCAGCGAATAATTTTGAAGCCTATCACAGCACAAACAACTATGTGAATCGACGCCGGAGATTGGATTATACGACGACCCTTCAATTAGCGTCAAATATGCTTTGTTACAACATCATTGATTGGCTGAGAGTCACCTGATCGGAGCACGAACTGGGTCACAGAACCATATTTGTCCGTATTATCAACAGGACTTTGCAAAATAACCACACCCACATTTTCAATCTTTTTTAGCGCGGACGTTGCCAACAAATGTAAAAAAAATCGTGAATTTCATAGATTCGAATAAAATAAAGCAAGCGATTGATAAGGATTATTAATATTTTCCCCGATGCTCTTCGAATTTTTATTTTTTTTATTTCAAGGTAAGAAATGGCTAGTTGAAGTTGGAATACAACCGAACTCGGCCAGATTTCAACTCGGCCAAGAAAAAAATGCACAACTCGGCCAGTTGTGAATGTCGAGGTGTTAACTGGTCATTGGTCAACAATTGTCACCTTCTTTCACGTCTGTTGCCGTGGCGGCATTTTATTTCCAGATGTTATATGCTACACAACATACCCAGTGACGCATCCGTTTCACTGACTGTTTTTGTCTAACTCCCGTGACTGTTTTATTGTCGATTTCAACAACGCAAGTTTACATACACACACAAACGCTACTGGTTCTCCGACATGTTCAAGTTGTTGATTTCAACATTGGCTGAACATTGTCGATTTCAGTGACGCAAATTTTCTTTTCAAAGAAAAAACACAGACATTACATCGGAATCACAGACATCACATCGGCGACCGCCTGGCTACGCTGTGTAACAACACAACACACAAAAAAAGAAACGCTCCTGTTTCCCCGACTGTTGTTGATTTCAGTGACGCAAGTTTTCAAAGAAAAAGCTCTGCTATGTAAAAACACTAAAACTAATGTTTCAATTTGTAGCA